ATGGAAAATAAGTTATCTTACTAATGTGTAATGTGTTTCTTTAACAATACTTTCACCATCTGCTTGAGAAGCTGCCCGGCACCATCAGTTCTCATTCCGTAGGATCAGGTGAAGAGCAAGGACTTGGATTTGCTGTGGACTTTTCTCATCTGAGTTTCTCACAGCTAAATCACTGATTCCTCTCCTAACCAACCTGACCTTCATTCAGCTCTATGCACTATGTCACTTTGATTTCTTCTTTGCCTGTGCCATGTGAAAACTATATAAAGTTAGATAGTCTTTGTTCATAATATTAAATATAAATTTAAGTAATTACTGTTTGATAATCTGCTACTCCTTCCCACTAACATAAAATGCTAATGTGTTTACATGGAAACTCTGTAGCTCTACAACTGTCACAGAATAATCTTAGTCACTTCTGTAGCTAGACCAGGACTTCAACAAACAGAAGTTATTAATTTTAACTCTCCTTTGGAATGAAGACTGTTTTAAATCAGTGAAATCTGGAATAGGATGGTTAAAGGAAATACAAGCTTCTTCACCAAGTCTGGGAAGCAGGGAAAACACACTTTAAATCTTACGGAAAAAAGAACGCAAATAGGATATCCGATAAAGGGCAAATCTTTGAAATTCATTAACATATTGGAATTTAAGAGCTAGAAAAAACCTGAAAGCCTCCGATTTAACCTCTTCATTTTACATATCAGGAAAAATATCCAGACTATATGCCCAAGATCAAATTACTCACAAAATGGGACACACGAAGAAAATAACAACTCTGGGTAGAATTATGAATCAATGTGTACTAATAGAAGGGATATGCCTACCCATCCAGTCTCATGTAAAGGAGGATAACAGCGCTCTGCCCCTTATCTGCCTGGTGTTACTATGATTACAGAGACCCATGGCTGTGTCAGATATACTATGGCTGATAAACTGTGGCTGCTCCAATAAACAGTCAACATAACTTACCACTGCCCAGAAAGGTTCCTACTTAAACTTAAAGGAAAAAAAAATCAGCAGTTAAAATATCAAAAAAATTTTCCAAAATAAAAATGAAGTTTTATTTTTTTATTTTTTATTTTTTTGTGAGGAGATCAGCCCTGTGCTAACATCCGCCAATCCTCCTCTTTTTTTGCTGAGGAAGATGGCCCTGGGCTAACATCCGTGCCCATCTTCCTCCACTTTATATGGGACGCTGCCACAGCATGGCTTGCCAAGCAGTGCGTCGCTGCGTGCCCAGGATCCGAACCGACGAACTCCGGGCCGCCGCAGCAGAGCGCGCCCACTTAACTGCTTGCGCCACCGGGCCGGCCCCTAAAAATGAAGTTTTAAAACATTGTCCAAACTATGATTCAAAATCCAGAAAGAATAAGGGGAAAGACTGAGAAATCTGAGTTGATAAAAATACACTTTAACATGGGAAAAGTGTCACGAGCAAAGTTCAAACACAAATGACAACAGTACTTGAAAGTTTTATCACAAAGGGTTAATTATGCAAATACACAAAGAGCTTCTAAAAATTGAGGGGGGAAAAAGGTCTACAGAAATATGGGCAGAAGATACAAACAAGTAGTTCACCAAATAAGAAATGCAAATGACCTTCAACATATGAAAAGATGCTCAACCTCACTCACAATAAGAGAAACACAAATTTAAACTACACTGATTTACCCTTTCTTCTGTATTAGATTAACCAAAAACTAAGTTTGACAGTATACTCTGAAGACAAGGCTATGAGAAAATAGGCACTCACATACACTGTAGGTAGGAATGCAAAATGGTACAACTACCCTAGAGGAGATTTTGGTAATACCTAGCAACTGATATATACGTATGCACTTACCCTTTGATACAACGATGCCAATTCTAGGAAGCTATCCCCAAGATACATTGGTAAAAATACAAAATCACACATGCACAGGATATACACTGCAGCACTATTTGCAATAGTACGAAACAACACAAATGCCCATCAACAGGGGACTAGTAGAATATTCATCCACCAACGGAACACTATGAAGCCGTGAAAAGGGACAACAATCTCTACATACTTCTGTGGGGGGATCTACAAGGCATATATTATTAGGTAAAAAAAGCAAGATACAAGACAGTGTATGCAAATACTACCTTTTATCTACGAAAGGGGGAACATATATATATATGTGGTGCATTTGTTTTTATGGAAGGATAAATCCAAAACTAGTAAATATGATACTACAAGAAAGGGAAATAGAGTGGAGAAAACAGGGATGAAAGCTAAAACTTGTCTGGCTCTAGCTTATTTGACAGTTACTTGTTTTATAGGAAATATGCTAATGCTTTACATAAAATAAAACAAATGCAAATGGGAAAAAAAGTAGTATTGAAAAGTTGGAAACAAAATGAAATAAGTCAACTAGACATCAAGTCAGCAGCCTAATCATATAACAAATTGTTTCATATGCCTTTAAAATGCAGTAATTTTACTGTACATATCCTAAGTGAGATATATAAGGACAAAAAAGAACTGCAAAGAAATCCTAAACACTATTCAGGAATCATATTGTTAATAATAAAATTGGTATTGTTAATTTGAAACTGTTAAATATAATATAAGAAAAAAAGTAATTATATTAATGACATTAGATACGATGATTTTCAGCAAAAAAGATACAAATAAAAAAATCAAATATGTAAAGAAAAAACTATAAAATTAAGTTGGAAATATCAGTGTGAATTCTGTATATTACTCTTTTAAAAAATGTATTTCCTTGTTAGCTCAGAGCCGGTCTTCCTCAGCAAAAAGAGGATTAGCATGGATGTTAGCTCAGGGCTGATCTTCCTCACAAAAAAAAAAAAAAAAATGTATTTCCTGGGGCCAGCCCGTTGGCACAAGCGGTTAAGTGGGTGCGCTCCGCTGCGGCAGCCCGGGGTTCACCAGTTTGGATCCCGGGTGCGCACCGACACACCGCTTGTCAAGCCATGCTGTGGCGGCGTCCCATATGAAATAGAGGAAAGAGGGGCATGGATGTTAGCCCAGGCCCAATCTTCCTCAGCGAAAAAAAAAAAAAGGAGGATTGGCAGATGTTAGCTCAGGGCCGATCTTCCTCACCAAAAAAAAAAACAAAAAAAAAAAGTATTTCCTATCTTTGGCTGCTATAAATCCTAGAAGCAATGACCAGCCTAATAGCAAGAGCACCTCCAGCACCCAGACTATGGTCTCTAAACACTGCTCAAAGGAACCAGGGCTTCCTAGTGGCCAGAAATGTATAAAAGAGCCAGGAAGAGGTTTTACCAGAAAACAAGGAAATTATCAAAGACTACTGGTCATACCAAAGTGGACAGGAGCCAACTTAAAAGGGCTGCCACTGGCCAAAGACAGGACAATTTGAGTATCAAAAAAAAAAAAAGACTACACTAGGTTGAAACAGTTTAAATATATTCAAGTCTGTAAGTTCATGATGATAAAAAATAAAAAGGCAAAAACCCTCATGGTTACCTTTGGAGGTTGCTAGGCCACCAACTCATTACCGTAGTCTGAAAATAGAGGGAAAGAATTAAGTATTTTTCTTGCCTTTCCTGCACAAACTGTATTTCAAATAGCTGATAGCAGTCAAATAGCTGGTGGGGAAAGTTCTTCATAAAAGATTTCCAGCTAATAAATACTGAAGGAATGATAGAACTAGAAAATCACCATTTTGCAACCCCTAATGCAATAATGGTTATAGGCAATCTAAATCCATGGAAAGAATTCACCATCGAGCGAAAGGCTCATGGGGAATTTCATGATGGCTGGATTGGGCTGACAACACCTGAACCCACTACACTGCTCAATCTTAATATCACAAAAAGAGACAACTGAGACACTGCATGCCTCTCTGATAACTAATACAATAGGATGTGTACTGCAGCACCTAGGAAATCTTACCCCCACCACCAAAAAAAAATCAAGGTTGAATCTGATCCAGCTTCTAGATCAGTGCTGTTCAACTGAACTTTCTGCAATTATGAACATATTTTCTATCCACACTATTCAAATGGTAGCCACTAAGCACCTGTGATTATTGGGCACTTGAAATGTGGATAATGCAACCAGGTAACTGAATTTTTAGTTTTATTTCACTTTAATTCATTTAAATAGCCACAGCTTGCTGGTGGCTACTATAGTGGACAGTGCAATTCTAGCTTTAACTACTGGTTCACAGGAAATAAAGGGAATAGATGTACATGTTAAAGGATACCATGTGGATGCAATCAGCTAAATCTAGAATGTTAAGGGAAAAAAGGGAGGCAAGGACTGCTATATTAAAAGATTTAAAAGGTGTATCAACCAAATGCAACATGTGGATCTCTATGGGATTTTGATCCAAACAAGTTAATTGTAAAAAGACATTTAAGGGACAGTTGGGGAAATCCGAACCCAGAGTGAATATTGACATTATGGAATTTTTTTAATTTTCATAGGTGTGATGACAACACTGTGGTTTTGTAAAACTGCAAAAAAAAAACTTAGCTCTTGGAGGGGAAAAAAAACCTAACATAACATAAAAATCAAAAATTCAGTTCCTGAAACCTATATTAATGTTGGCTTCAGCTGAATTTCAAATCAAGTTAACATTTTTTTTTTTTTTTAAGTAGGAAGCTCTGATAGAGTGGACTACTGATGCTGTCACCACCAGCCACCACTACTACACAAATGAGAATACGGATGACCAAGCAAACGTCTTCCACCTATTAATGGGAGGAAAATGGCATCAGTACAATTAACACACACAATTATTACAAATAATTTTAAAACCTGAATCTACATACATTTTAAAGGGCAGTGTGACTGAATGTTTATAAATCTCTAACCTATTTTAATTTGTCTTTTACTATCCTGATCAGTGATAATGATATAGTCAAAGGGCAAGAAGCTCAGGATAAAAATCAATCTAAATATGGTACTGCAAGCCGAATAAGAAAATACATACACCTTATCGTTAAGCTACAGCTACGATAAGTAGAAATGTAAATATTTGAAAGTAACATGTAGTTGATGATCCTTATGACGATTTCCTCTTCATAGCTATAAAATAAAATTAAATGTAAGCATGTGGGGAACTGCATAACTACAGTGTACCTACCCTACAATACTGCTTTATTAAAGGAATTAAAAAACTTTTTTCAAAGACCGGTTTAAGGAATCGGATGTAAGGCTCAAGGAAAACTACTTTGTGCAAATAAGTGCACTGTAACTGTAAACGGAGACCAGTCACTGACAGCAGACTCTTTACTCTTCTGTTGTAAGAGACATAAGCAAAACCACGCTATGAGCCTAGATTTATTGTCTTCAAATATCTTCATGATTCAAGTGTTCCTACAGAACCGTCCCTTTTAAACTCGCACTCTATCATTTATTTCCCATCCCTGATCTGTATGGAGCAATCCGTTAAGTTCAGGGTTCCCCAACTTCAGTCCTTCACGATTTCTGCCACAGTTCCGTATCTCCTGTACTAACATTAACGTTTGTAAAGCAACTCTCTTGCTAAAAATTGCTAACCTCTCCACCACACATGAACCGGTATCACCCGCCGTCCAGGACCTAAGTCGCACCTTGCTAGGGAGCTAACAGGGCACGGAGCCCGGGCGGGAGGGCTGTGCCGGGGTCCCTCCCCCGGGGAGGAAGCCTGGCTCCGCCAGGGAAGGTGAGGGCCCGAGAGCAGCTCGCCCCCCGCCCTTCCGCCCTCCCGGCCTCCAAGCCTCCGGGGAGAGGCTGACCACCTGGCTGGCGCGGACAGCGCGCCCGGCACCGCCATAGCCGCCTTCGCGCGGCCGCAGGGCGCCCGCGGCAAGGCCAAGGGGCGGGGCGCCGGGGCGGGCCCGGGCCGGCGGGGGCGGGCCCGGCGGCAGGCGGGCAGCTCCGGAAGCCAGTCCCGGTCCCTGGGGCCGCGCGGCCGGCGGCGCCACTGCAGCCAGGGCGGCCTCCAGCCCAGAACCCCTCCGGCCCTCGCCGGCCCTACGTGCGCACATGCGGTTACGGGCTGCCGCGAGCGCGCCCCCGAGCCTTCCCGCCGTTACCTCCGGCCGGGGGCGCGCACGCGCGTCACCGCCAACCTGACGTCCAGCCTCCGTCGCCGGCACGTTCGCTCCGCCCACTGCGCCCTCACTTTGAATTGACACTACGTTCTCCCTGACCTCCCCTCCGCGCCAGCAAATGGGCTCACCCACATCCGGGGATCGGAGAAAAGGGCGTGCGGATCACGTGATGAGGAGGGCGGGGTCTGGCGGAAGCGGTGCGATCTGGGTCGGGTACTGGTAAGGGTTTACCGCGCCGCAGGCCTACGTTTTGGAGGGGCGGGATCGCGTTGTTCCTCAGCGTCGCGCTTCTCCAACTTCCGTCGGCCGAAGCTGAGGCTTTCACTTCGTTCTCATACTCATTCGCCTATCACACGCCGGGTCCGGTGGAGAGGACTCGCGTGGCGGGCCTGGACCTCCCCCGTTCCGCTTTTGGTACTTCCAGCCCGGGCCGGAAGGCGCGGCGGGGGCAGCCTCACCTGTACGACGGTGGTGGCCTGCGAGGGTCATTTCTAGTGAGGGAAAACGCCTTCCTGCTTTGATCGTGGAGCTGCGCGTTTACAGAGCTCTGGAGCACAGAGAGGCCTGCCCCGGGGGGCGCGCGCACCGCCTGTCTGGGAGGACGTGTAACCGGCGATGTGGCAGCCTCCCGTCGGGACCGTTCATGAGCCCTGGGAGCCATGGGACCCTTGCAGGGGCGGGCACGCGCGCGCCTGGGTCTGGGAGAAGGCCTCCTGCGGGAGGCGACCCGGGAGTTTCTAGACTGACTGGGGATTAGCTGGGAAAAAAGTAAAAAGCCTTCCAGGCATTGGGACTGTCACGTGCGTAAGAACAGTTTGTTCGGGAAACTGGTGGTGGTTCCTTCTGTCGAGTGTGGCAAGTGCTTGGGACAGTGGCCGTGCCCTGGACATCGCCTGTCTTGATGCTTTCCACTCTTCCAGCCCCATAAGAGTGAAGGCAGTTTAGCGCCCAACTGTGGAAGGAGGACGTTGATCCGGAAGAGCTGACGCACACTTTGAGTTTGGAGGGAAAAGTAGGTGTTAGTGCTGGGGGAAAGAGGGTTTTAAGTGCAGAGGCTGGCAAGTATGAGAGGGTTAGAGGTGTTTGGAAAAGGAATGGGTGAATAAAGATTGAGGCCACATTGGGGGAAAATGTGCTGAGGCATTGATACAAAATTTACACTTAACAATCCCTATGCATACATAGCTTATCAAGCCATGCTGTGGCAGCGTCCCATATACAAAATAGAGGAAGGTGGGCACAGATGTTATCTCAGGGCTAATCTTCCTCAGCAAAAAGAGGAAGATTGGCAACAGATGTTAGCTCGTGGCCAATCTTCCTCACCAGAAAGAAGAAAAAAAAATCACTTGGAGACAATTATACCTGAGCAGTGGGTTGCAGAGGCGACCTGACTTGTTTAGTAGATGGTAAGGACAAGAAGGAAGCATTCGAGGGCAGAGTGCCTGCTGAAGCTGCTGTGATTTTGGAAAACTTGACAAAAAGATGGAATCTGTGTGTGACTGGGAAAATCGGCTGGTTTTGGTCACCTTAGAAAAGGAGGGTATCCCCAGGGGCGGTGCAGCAAGGACAAAGGAGTGGCAGCAGGAAAAGGGAGGGGTCTTATAGGACTCCAGATTTTGGAGTCCAGGGACTCCAAAAGTATAACTGGAACTGAGGGCAGGAACACATTGTGTGTGGATTTCGTAAAGACAGGTTCCTTGGCTTTCACTTGTCCACTGGGCAGTCCTGAATTAATCGTTGAGTTAAACGTGAAGACCTCATCATGTTCACTGGTGGCAGAAGTAGCTGGGCACCTTTTGCTTCAGTTTTGCCTGGATCCTTATCATGGGGGCAAAACCCTTCTGCCACTACAATCTGTACAGTTATTACAGGTATTAGGGTTACCTTGCAATCACACTACTGGGGACAAGCACAGGCCTGTATGAAGGAGTTGGATTCTGCACCTGAAGATTGTTTCTTGTATGAATCTTCATAGTCTCAAACTGGGAATAAAAGAGTGCCTTTGGTGTCATTGGCTTCCAGGCCATCAGGATGGCTGCTTTGTAGCAGGTGGCACAGTAGGGTGGTGCCTGGTGCCTGTGATGAAGAAGCAAGAGCCCAAACTTGGAAACGAGATGCAGAGGTGCCCTCCAAGCTGGCAGCAGCCGTTTAGGAGAAAAATAGGGAATCAGCTGTAGTCAAGGAGCTAAGTAAGCCGCTTGACTGCTTGGGCCAGGCATGGAAGGGAGTATGGCATTGAGAATCAGAGGAAGGAACCCTGAAGGGAAACAGACACGAGCAGCATGGTGTACTGCCACTGTTGTTCACCTAGAGGTGCTCCTTTCAGAGCTCAGGCTGGGCGCTGTTTTCAGAAAGGAAGCAGTTTCTTTTACAGGCTCAACTGAGGATTTCTGTCAAATCTGTCGTTGGTCACTTCGTGTAACCCTGTTCAGCATTATCTCAGTGTGTTCATTTAGCTCCTGTGCCTAAGAATGCTGAGATTAGAGCCAAGGCAGGTGGAGACTTTTGTAAAAATGGTGCAGGAAAGGCTAGAGGGGCCAGAGAGGAGACTTGGTTATGCATCAAGGACCCATCAAAGGCATCTCAAACAGGGAAAGGTGAGTGTGCAATTTAGGAGAGAAAAGCTACATTCAAGATGTACTGTGGCCTTGTAAAGGAGGCCCTCAGGTATGTTGGCCTCCTGTCATGCTGTGACACTGGTCTGTCAACTGGGCTATGTCTGATGTCTGTCCGATAACACTATAAAGCTGAGCAATGAGGGGGCAGGAGGAAGGGACTGTGATCTTATCAAGTAAGTTGTCACCTGACCCAGGCAAGAGGTGAGTCGTTCCCAGGGTGATGTTATCCCAAAAGACATATCCAGGCCGAAAAGCCTGGGAACTCCGAGTGCGGGATTACGTCATCTCCTCAGTCTTCGTGTTTAAGAAATAACCTCTTTGGCTTACAGATCTGACAAGATAAAGCTGCCGGAGAATGGACAGTGAGGTCCAGAGAGATGGAAGGATCTTGGATTTGATTGATGATGCTTGGCGAGAAGACAAGCTGCCTTATGAGGATGTCGCAATACCACTGGTAGGTTATAGTTTGTGCTGAGGATGATGGGTTAAAGGTATGATCTGGTGGGTCCTGGTAGAGGTAGGAATCAGTGGACAAAAAAGCTAGCAGGGCAGAGAAATCAAAGCTGTGGAGTCCTCTAACCCTAGAAGCCTCTGGAGAGCATTTAGCTCAACTCTTTATTTGAAGAGAACTGTGGTTCAGAGAGCTGATATGACCACCTTGGCTAGGGGTCATGCCAGGCATGGAACACAGGTCTTCTGAGCCGTGTTCTATCCACCACACCAAAGCTAGTAAACCGGATAATGAGAGTTTAGTGCATTAGATGGAGAGGAACAAGAAGCAGTGGCATGAGCACTGCATTTCTAACTTCTCTACCTGTGGTTTGTCAGTTGACATTTTTAGAAACTCGCACTCTTGGTACACACACCTATCCCAGGTTCCCTGGAAAATATTCAAAAGACACCTGGCTTTTCTTCTTTTGCGTTTAGACCAACAGGCTTCTGGAATACTCTTTTCTTTCCCAGTCTCTGGAAAACTCTCCTGCAAAGAGTTTGTTAAACTTCATGAATAAGTTATGTAAAAGTTTTGCTTGTATAAATGCCTATTAAAAAGTCCTATTTATGTCATAAGAGGCCTAACAAAAAACAAGGAGAACAGGATTTAGGGACTGTTTTTCTTTAGAGCATGTCAACTGCCCTGAGAAGAGCCATTAATAAAAAATAGCTTACAGGTAGATGGTCTGCTGCTGTTATTTACAGAGAAATAAAATTCAGCTCACCCACATTTTCATTTAAGAATAGGAGATAATAATATGTTTAATGAATAAAACACATCAAATAATAAGTCACAGCTTAGTTTGAGTTTACAAAAATAGTCAAAAGAGCATAATGAGAATTATAGCTGCTACTTATTGAATATCAGTTTTATGCCATGGACCGAGGTTGAAATTTGACATACATTATCTCTGATCCTCAGAGCAACCTTGCAGGGGTGGTGGTGTTACCCCATTTTACGGGCAGGAAATAGGATCAGAGAGGGGACCTTGTCCACAGTCTGGGTTGGACTTCACACCTAGGTGTGTGAGGCTCCAGATCATGTCCTGTAAACTTTAGTTTATTCTTTCCCTCGACAAGCATTTTTTTTAAGCCTACTGTGTACCATGAGACTAATTGAACATAAGATGTAGTTTCTGTCCCTAGAGGTCTAAAGAGGTAACATAGATAAACAGTTATAAAAAGTGTCCTAAGTGGGGGTCATGAACAGCTGTGTAGTATCGGAGGTGGTTGATTGCCTGTTGGCTCTCAGGAAAGGCTTCAGAGAGAATGTCAGAAGGGAGGACCAGAAGTTTAGTCAGGTAGACAAGGGCACACCAGCAGAGGGGACAGAGGTGTAAAGGCTCCAAATTTGTAAAGGCTTTGGGAGATGGTGAGGCATTCAGTGTGGATGGAGAATATGTTGTCATATAAGTAGGCAGAAAAGTTGGGCTCGGACCAGATTTGAGAAGAGTATTTGGTGCCGTGCTTAGACCTCATCCTGGGGATATCCAGGAATGAGTGGTCTTCAGAGTAGAAGTCTGCCATGCTCAGTTTTGGGTTTTGGAAAATCAGTTTAACAATCAGCATTGTTAGAGAATGTCTGCCGTGGAGAAAGGGGCAAGTGACAGGGCAGAGAGACCAATTAAGAAGCTATTGCAGTGGTCTAGGCAAGGGAGGAGGGCCTGAACAAAGATAAGAAAATGGAGGAGAATTGCTGAATTCTGGACATGCTTATGGCAGAATTTGGAGACCATTTGTGTGGTAGGGGATAAAGGAGAGGGAAATTTCCATGCTGACTTCCAGTTTGTAGCCCTGTTGCTAATCCATCTTTTCCCATGTCTTGTGTATCAGTTAGCTTTTGCTGCATAACAAATCACCCCAAAATATAGTGGCTTAAAACAGCAGCTGTTTATCTCGTAGCTTTGTAGCTCAGCTGAGAGGGTTTTCTGGTCTTCACCAGCTTGGCTCATCCGTGCTGGACTTGGCTGGTGTTCTGCAGTCAGCCAGCAGCTAGCTGGAGGCTGGGTGATTCAGGACACTTTCACGTGTCCTGGCTGTTAGTAGGCCGTCAGATCCCATCTGACGGGTGATGAGGACACAGTGTCTCATTGTCCAGCAGACTAGCCCAGACCTCTTCGCATGGCCTCACATGGTTCCAAGAGCAGCATGAGAGGAAACTGCAGAGCTTCATGGAGCTTAGGCCAAGAACTGGCCCCCTGGCACTGCAGCTGCATACTGTTAGCCAAAGCAAACCACGTGGTCAGTCCAGATCAAGATGAGGAGATAGACTCAGCCTTTTATAGCAGGAGCTGCAAAGAATTGTGACCATTTTTGCGGTATACTGTAGAGATTTATGATACTTTGTGTTTGTTTTCCAGACGCATACACAATTTTATATGTTGGCATTCGTTGCAAGAGACAATAGTGACCAGATGAAAGACACATTATTTTAGAATGCGTACCACAGATGGGATGAAATTAAGCAAAGTTGCCTGTCTCTGAATTAAATAATTTATTAACCAAGGACTTGTTTGTGCTTTGTCAGCTATAAGTAATTATTAGAACCAAACTTTTTAAGTTTATGTTATTGCCTTACAGTAAATAATTTTTTTCAATTTGTACAAGCATGTTTGAATCTCAGTCTTAGAGATTCTTAGACATTTGTAGAGCAAGATATATATGATTCAAATATACTTGTACATATTGTAAGTAAATCAGTTTTTATATATTGAACATAATTTTAAATGAGAAAAACATTTTTATATTCATGTCCTGCAAATTGGAATCCAGTGGGAAATCGTAAGTCTGGATATTGAGTAATAGTTTGCTAACTCTTAAAAAAAGTGTAAATTCAGATAATTGAAAGGACATATATTGGTATCAGTGAACTCTGGTACAAAGCAGGGTTCTGGTAGTAATAAATTTAAATTGAAAATATAAGGAGACTATCTTAAAGGTTCTCATCACATACAAAAAAATGGTAACTATATGAGATAATGGAGGTGTTAACTAACCTTAATGTGGTAATCATTTTACAATATATACGTGTATCAAATCATCATGTTGTACACCTAAACTTACACAATGTTACATGTCAATTATATCTCAATAAAGCTGGAAAATTTATATATAAGGGAACTATCCCAGATTCTACACTAAGTATAGAATGGCTTACCATTTCAAGAAAATTGCTGGTGGAATATGAGTTGGTCATTTGATGTGTTTTATGTTGCCCTGCTCCACCACTAGGGGGAGGTCGCATCCGTTATGTTCCAGTTTCAGGGCTCCCCGCTTAACTCCATTATAATGTGGGCATGTTGGGTACAGGGTAGTTTTTTAATACATTTCTTGTGCTTAAGGAATATTCCAGAAAATGTGATATTCTATTAAAGCAGCCTCCTAAAAAAGATTTAGTATTGGCTCTTTTCGGTGTTCCTAGGCACTAATAAGCTCAGATATTCCTTGAGCACTGGGTGCCCCGTGCAGTGCTGAGCACTTGCTCTAGATTACCTCATTTAGTCCTCACGGCAGTTCTATGGGGTGACGGCTGCTTTTTTTCCCTCACTGCCAAAGAGGAAGCAAAGGCCCCAAGGTTTGAATACCTTGCCCGAGTAACCCATCAAATGGTGGCGTCATGGGCTTGGATCACGGTGGCTTCCATAGCCTGAGCCCTTAGCCTTCTGTCACACTGCCTCCTGCACAGGCGCCAGGGTCGTGATGCCATCATTCCCTACTGAGGCGGACCAGGGCGTGTTTGAGCAATACTTCTAATATTTCCTGACATCTGTTTATTCTAGCTCTTTCTGTAGAATACAGTTCTATGAATTATGTTGCTTATTTCCAGGAACTCAGGTTTTAATTCTAAATGCTTTTGAGTTTTAAGGGGTTTGTTAATGTGGAGTATACCGTCATTCTGAATGTCCATTGTGCCTTTTCAGAACGAGCTTCCTGAACCTGAACAGGACAACGGAGGCACCACAGAATCTGTTAAAGAACAAGAAATGAAGTGGACAGACTTAGCCTTACAGTACCTCCATGAGAACGTTCCCCCCATAGGAAACTGACCCTCGGCTCCTTTTTCAGGGACAGATTTTTTAAAAATACATAGATACAGAATGTTTTCTTCCAGTCTCCTAATTGAAATCTTTTAGTAATAGATCAGCGCTCAAAAATGTACACCCACTTAGTTTGTGGCAGCAAAGTGCAATGTGGAGATACTCACCAGAGCGAGAAACTGATTGAGATTTCTCAGGAGTGCAGAATATCCGGCTCTCTGAACCTAAAGTTCTTCATTCACTGGCTTGTGTCTGAACATCATGAGTTAAACATTTGCCTTTAACTCTGATTTTGCTTTACTATCAGAGCTTAACACATCCCAACTGCTTATCTGTGTCCTGTGACACGGGTGATTAAAAATATGAGAGGGAAAGACAAAGAGGAAGCCAGACGTGAAGAGAATTATTACCATCTCATGAGTTAAACATTTGCCTTTAACTCTGATTTTGCTTTACTATCAGAGCTTAACACATCCCAACTGCTTATCTGTGTCCTGTGACACGGGTGATTAAAAATATGAGAGGGAAAGACAAAGAGGAAGCCAGACGTGAAGAGAATTATTACCATCTCATATACCCCTATTCTAGAAGATTCTGAGTGGTGTGTGTGAAGCCTGTAGATGTAATGGATGTATAGATAGCCTGTTCACTGATTACTGGGACTCCTAAGATTCCCTGTAGGATTTTCAAACTTTGGATACATTTACAGATTAAAAAGTTATCTGACAGTTACCTCTGCTGCCCCTACAATTTCCTTTGGTGCCGCTGGAAAGGATCTTTGGCTAGATGTTTTATCTAGTAACAGCATTTCTTATTTTCTCAAAGCACTTTCAGATGTAACTGAAACACCGTGGAGTCAGATTTAGTTAAGCATTTGTATAAGAACCTGTATTTTGCAGAACCCATTCATGGACATTGATCTCCTGGAATTGTTTGCCTCTGTTAAGTGGCGTCTTTCTTGTTCTGTGCCCAGATCATAAACTCTGGGAAGAGGCCCTGGCTTATACTTCTGTATCCCTCATTGAAAAACTGAAAACACTGAATAATTGAAATCTCTCTTCTCATCCTTTTTTACGGGGTCTTTTTGTTTACCTAGCTTTTAGGAGTAAGAAGTACATCACAAAACAACTGAGCCTCTTTTAGAATTTCAATCAGAAACATGGTTGTAGCTGCTCTCCTGTAATCCAGACACATCCAGGCTGAGCTCCTCCCTGTGCATCTGTGTCCTGCCTGGAAGTCATTGTCTCAGAATAAAGACCCCAAGGCACCAGTCCCTCAGTCACCAAAGAAAAACCACCCAGGGAAAAAGAGAATTATGATGTTTAGAAAAAAAATTATATACCAAGAGAAAACAAAGCTTTTCAAAAAATTACCTAAAATGCCACAGTTCTTCCACGTTCTAGTTAAATGAGGGTTTTACATCGATTTTATTCATGGTATATAATATCTAAGACCCTGACATCTAGGAACTAAGTGGATGTTCATGTGAATCCAGCCTTGCTTGTGGCCCAGCTTTTCCCAGGAATCTTGGTAGACCAGTAAAATATGAAAGTTGTCTTGATTTCAACAGAGTATGATGCCTGTAAAATAGACAGCTGTTGGTTTATCTGCTTGGCCTATGACCCTCATCTGAGGTCTTTCCCCATGCCCAGGAATAGCCTCTGGCCAAGTTTGTGACCTGTGATATGGTGTCAGAACCATAGCTCAGTGTATCAGGAATTAGGTGACCAAACCTGGGCCAAGTTGTCACCTGCTGCTTTGGAATCTGCCTGTCTAGGACTGGCTTGAGGATGATGGGCACCAAGAGATGCTGGGCTGCTGCTGTGGCTTTCAACCATATGTACCAGTACACCCAAGGAGGAAGGTGCAGAGGGTAGCCGAGGGGCCATGTGGCACCTTGGTTCCTGCAGCCTTCTGGTTCAGAGCATGTGTTTGGCTCTCCTCTGGGGGCATCTCACTTGGTGCAGGAATACGACAGTGGACAAGATAAGTATGGCTTCTGCCTTCACTTAGTGGAGGAAACAAGCATTAAACCAATAGCCATACAAATTTGTGGTTTCAAATTGTGACATATGTCAGGAAGGAAAAATACAGAATGTTACTTAGGTTGTTCCCAGAAGCAAAGCCTGAGGCAGAGTTTCCTGTGCAAGGGATGTATTGAGGTTGCGTTTGCAGGAGGAGCCTGTGCAGGAAGCGAGATAGGGCAGGGGAAGAAGTGGAGCAAAGACGGGGTCTCAGCAGAACACGAGGTCTCAATGGAACGTGATGGCACCAAGAGTTTTCCCACCTTGAGCTAAGGGGCTAGGCCTTTGTACTCAGTGTATGCTGGTTAGTCACTGGTTCTGCCTCTCCCACCATCCCCCAGGGAGGGCAAAACCCAGGGAGGGCCAGGGGTCGTGGCTCTCCAGAGAACAGTGCGGCTGTGAGCTCTTGGCAGCCAACACTCAGTAGCCAGGGAATGGTGTGCAGACAGACCAGGTAAAGGGGATCTTGGCCCCAACAGTGACTACTGCAGGGTATAAGAGAGTGTGACGGGGCACCTGCTGTGGATTTGATAGTCACAGGAGACCTTGTGGTAAGTAGCTTTTATAGCATATAATTTGAAGTATTAATTTTGTTTCTGAATTTTTCCCACTCTCCAAGGAAGTGGCCAGGTCCTTGGTGCTTCCTGTTTCACAGCAGAGAGCAGATGTGCCCAAACAACCCTACCCCTTGTTCGGGAAACAGGAGAGGGAGGGGGAGAAGGAACCTCTTGGGAATAGTGGAAAGCTGTGCCCCAGTTGCTGGTAGTACTCCAATGGGATGGTGAACTTTAGAGGTTCATGGTTTTGGAGGTGCCCTGAAGGAGACCTGAAGCTCAATACAGTCTTCCAGCCAAGGCAAAATACCCCAAAGCATTGGAGCCACCTCCTTCAAGGGCCCCTCAGAGCTGGCAGTGAGGATAGCAGCAGTGACCCAGATGGACTGGAGAGTAGAGGTCCTTGCCCACTTTTGAGGTCATTCATGAGCATCCTAAATGTTTGTGAGACCCTAAGAGGTGGAAAGGACACCCCAGTGACCACGGATTTAATTTCTGCTTCAGCACAGCAGAACAGGACTGAAAAGATTAAATTTGCTCTGAAGAAAATAAGAAAATGTGATATTTCTTGTATCCTCCTTGAGTTTGTGAGCCAACACCGGAAGGACAGGTGGGAGTAGCCAGGGGAAGAATTAGGGGATGAGGATTGAAGGCAGAGGGCAACTTGCATAAAGCTGGAGGTGGGACTGGCTTTACAGGCAAGGTGGGTGGGAGATGGGAGATGGGTGAGTGGCTTGGTCAGATTGAATTTGAATTTTTTTAATATGAGGCACTCAGGGCTTGAGGAGGTAAGAATTGAAGTGGAAAGACAGAAGAGCTCCGCATTGGCTCAAGGGAGAGATGGTGGTGGCTTGGACTAGCAAGATGAAGGAGGAAGTAGAGGAACTTGGGATTTCTCCTAGAGGTAGACGTGTCCAGCCGTGCCCAGGGAGAGGTGTGTTTCATGAAGCCAGTACCTGCATCATGGTGGTATGATTCTGAGGAGACTTGAGTACCCAGTGTAAGCTGCCCTTACGACCCACGAGCAAATTCTCTGAGCCAGACACAGGACTCCAGGTGCAGCCTCTGTTCTCTAAGAATGTAGAATCTGGGTCCAGAAACCACCCATCCTTTGAAGCCCAGTGTAGACCCACTTCTTAATAATATGGTAACGATGATGATGACAGCCATGGTTAACTGAGCACTTCTGTGGGCTTTTGACATGGGATCTCTAGCCCTAGCATCTGCTTTTGAAGGTGGATATTGTCCTTGTTGATCAGGAGATGGCAACTTAAAGGACTTGTTCCAAGTTAAAGGGCTTATTTCTAAGTCACTCAAATAGTAAATGGATCCAGCCTAGGCTGCCTGGTCCCAAAACCCATGTCCTCTCCCAGGACCATGTGACCTCCCCTGTAAAACTGCTGTGACCACTCCTTTGTGAAATGGGAAGAAAATCCTCTCGGAACACTCAGAACTTCAAAATGTTTTTCTTCTTTCTCTAATTGAGATAAAAAACTGAAAGAGGAGTTTTTACTAGGAGCCCAGGAGTCATGACATTAAAAAATCAAACTGTTGACGAGCCCATGCAGAAATCATAACTTTATCATCATGAGTCATATTGTTGCCACTGGTTTTTATATAAGGTTAAATCCCTAAGATAAATTTTCAGATTTTGGTGCGTTTTGAGCGGACCACTTAGTGTCAATGCTATTTAGTACCCAGCAGGGGGTGCTCAATTCCTTTGAGAAGGTTTGAATCACTGGCAGATCTTTTAGTAAACTCTGAAACTGAAGATCCTGAATAAATGTGGTGTTTTGCTTGGCAGTGAGTCTGCATATCTTGGTTGCCCAGAGTGCTGGGTAGGGGTTTGTGTGAATCCCTGGGATTTGGGCCGGCCATGCGTGGACCAGGCAGCTCACCTAATGGGCTCATTGCTCTTACTTTATAGGGGCCAAGTGAGGGCACATGGAAGGGGAGGGCAGTTCAGAACTCTGGTTACAGGAAAACGTAGCCAGAATCAGGAATTTTGCCCACCTGTGACCCAACTCATACTCATTGTCAGGCCTGGGGAGTCTTTTGTTAAGCTATTTCCCAGCTCTTTGTGTAAAATCATTTGGAGAATTTAGGTGACATCTGGAATGATCCATTGGGCTCTAGAAAGACTGTTTTCCAAAGCTTCCTTTCCTGACTTGGCCCTGCTTTATCCATAGTTAAATTTGTTCCCCAGTTCCTTGCCAGGCTGCACCCCATTAGTGAGCTCCTATGGAAAGTAGTGGAGGCTTCAGGGCTGGCATGGGAAGATAGCTGGGTGGTCTCTTAAAGAGGCTTCTCATCTTGTGGCCTTCGTGGCCCCGGATGATGACCTTGGCTTCTGAACCTGAGCCAACCAAGATTGGCTTCACAGGCCTATAACCTGTGCAGTCACACAGTGCCCCAGACTCAGAAGGGCCTGCTGTGGCTCTCTTGAAACTCTTAATTTTTGAACAAGGGGCCCATGTTTTCATTTTGTGCCGGACCCCGTAAATTATGTAGCTGGTCCTTAAATCTATGGCAGCCATCTGTAGGGGTTCCACATTGGATGGCGACTAACTCGACCCAGCAAATGCCCTCACCTTGGGAGTGAGAATTCAAGACACTGTGAACGTTGGCCTTTGGGGTGACAGCAAACCAGGCAGGTCCAGGAGAAGCTGGGGCAGAGCTCCAGGCTTGCTGCGGCGGCCTGAGAGGTATTCCGCTTCCTCATGAAGTCTTACAGTGCAGTTGCGGAAATTGTCTCCTGAGCTCGGCTGAGCCCTCTGTCATTCTTGCCACCTGTAAGCTGGTCTAACTGACCACGGGGTGAGGGGTAGGTATAGAAATGCTGGAAGTGCAGCAAGACGGGTTTGTGGACAGCTAAGAACTTGAAGCAAGGTTATCACCCAATCCCAGGGAATGTTCTTGCCTAAATTTCATCTGGCCCTTAGCCAACTCCTATGTGAACTTGCACCCTGTTGCCCTGGGTACAGCAATGCAGCTGTCTCAGAACAGAGCCTCTGACTGAAAGAAGAAATGAGAAGGACAATGACAGAGCTGGAACAATGGTCAATGCATTAGTGCATGAAGGATTTCTACCTGGGTTTTTATTTTAGTTTATCCTATCATGTTGAACCATAGGAAAAAGCTAGTTTTATAGGTTGAAAATAGTCACAGTTTTGGGGCCAGCCGGTGGCGTAGGGCTTAAGTTCACACGCTCCACTTTGGCGGCCCAGGGTTCGTAGGTTCAGATCCTGGGCGCCGACCGACACACCGCTTATCAAGCCATGCTGTGGCGGCGTCCCATATAAAGTGGAGGAAGATGGGCACAGATGTTAGACCAGGGCCAATCTTCCTCAGCAGAAAGAAGAGGATTTGCAATAGATGTTAGCTCAGGGCTGGTCTTCCTCACCAAAAAATAAATAAATAGTAACAGTTTCCTATGTTTTTAGCTAATTTTATTCTCACCTAGATCCAGTTGTGCACATATACACACAAACACACATACACACACAACACACACAAACCAGATTTGATGGGGGGAGGTGAGGCGCCAGCAAAGGGTGGAGAATTTGAAAACAACCAAATGACTCCAAAGGAAGTGAGGGAGGTTGATGTATATAAACCCATCCCAGTGACTCCAGACCTTCCCTGGTGACTCAGACCCCCCCTGTCGTGGTGCCACCACCCAAAGGCAAAAGGGGTGTTCCTCTGCCCATGTTATGATCTGGCCTCCACTTTCTTAGCGTCTCTGCCCATGCTTCTTCCCCACCTGTCACCTTAGTCTCAAGCTGTTCCCTGCCCCCACTGCCGTGCTCACAGACTGCTACTCTAACTGGCACACAGTCCAACTGTGCATGACATCTTGAGGAAGAGTGACGTGGCAGCATCCCTGCCTCTTTGGCAGTGGGGATGCCCTGGGTCATCAGATGAGACGCCACACAGCTTCCCCCAGCTCAGCCCAGACATGTGGGAACAGCCTGGTGAGCCCCTTCTCTCTAGTCCCATATTCCTGGCTTCTGTGTTCCCAGCTATGCTCCTCCCAGCTTCTCAGGCTCTCAACCTTCAGGGCCATGCAGATGTTGCGAGAGACTCCTCCCTCTCTACTCACAGCCCCTGCTCACCCAGGGCTGCCCTCTGGGAGGTTAGGTGCTCAACGAATCTGAGTTCTTAGCCCAGGAGTACAAGAAAGATGAGCCCCAGGCTGAGTTGGAGAGTTCCAGATGGACTGGACTCGCGGCAGAAGTGGAGAGGGCTGCAACTCTGGTCCTCTCTCCTCCCGCTGACTGCTTCCTATCTCTGTCACCCAGTTTCTCTCTTTCTCTCAATCAATCAAGCAATGAGTCTTTCTCTGTGTATGTTCCTATTTCTCTCTCGCTGTTTTTCTCCCTCTCTCACATTCAATCATTTATCTAAATATCTTACTCTATACGTTAGACTTATCTTTCTTCTCTCATATTGCAAATACCTTTAAAGTAAAGCTCATATCAGTTAGGCATCTTGTTTTATTTTACATAATACTTACTTGAAATTACATATAAGTAAGATGTATATAAGCTGTTGCAAAATATAGTGGCTAAGAGTCCAACAGACTTTGGAGTCAGAAAGACCTAGATTCAAAACCCAGCATAGCACACACTAGCTGCGCATCCCCAAATAGGGTATTTACCTTTCTGAACCTCAGTTTTCTCAATGAAAGTAGGGTTGATAATATTGCTTACGTGATAGGCTTACTGGAGGATTAAAAGAGACAATGCAAGTAAAGTGCTGAAAACAGTTTCTGGCACACGGTAAACACTTGATAAATATGAACTATTGTTTTTTTTCAATATAACAAAATATTTAAGCATTTCAAAGGAAGTCTACATTGATACTCTGAAGTCAAGCAAAGTATAATTTTATTATGTAAATAATCATTCCCAAATAATCCTCAGGGATTATTTTACATAGTAGAAACAGCAATGAATTAGGAGGCAAAAGATCTGGGTTCAAGTTCTAGCTGCAGCACTTACTGGCTGTGTGACTGGAAGCCTGCCTGTCACCTCTCTGAGCCTCCATCACAGGATTGGGGAGTAAAATAAGTACAATGAATTCAAAACTGTTCTGTACTTATAAAGAACTATATACACATTAGTTACACACCATAATTTATTTACTGCATAAATTCATAATTTATTCTCAAATTCATGTTTCATGTAGCTCTTAATATATGTGCTAATTTAAACATAATAAATGTACATGTAGGCATATCTGTATGTGAATTTGCATAAACATATTTTTAAAAGTCTGGGAGGAAAGACAGCAAATTATTGGCAGTCATCGCCTCTAGATACAAGATTAGACTGGCCAAGAAAGAAATTGTCACATTTTCTTTTATCTCCTTATGAAAAAGTGGTGGAGTTATGGGTAATTTTTTTAAATAATGTTGTAGATATTGTGAAAATCAGAATAGCATTGTTGTTTTTGTTTGTTTTTTTAATTTTATTTATTTATTTTTCCCCCAAAGCCCCAGTAGATAGTTGTATGTCATAGCTGCCCATCCTTCTAATTGCTGTATGTGGGATGCAGCCTCAGCATGGCCGGAGAAGCAGTGTGTCGGTGCACACCTGGGATCCGAACCCAGGCTGTCAGCAGCGGAGCGTGCGCGCTTAACCGCTAAGCCACGGGGCCGGCCCTGAATAGCATTGTTTTTTAAAAAATATTCTCACTGCCTTTGAATAAAGGTTTGGAATGTACGTTAAAAACTTGTGTCAGCATTTGGTAACTTTCTACTGCCGTTCAGCAGGAGCACCAGCTCTGTGCAAACACTCTGGGAGATGCAAAGGTAGATCAGATGTAGGATTCTACCTGAGATGACAACATATTAGACCAGATAAGACACTTATGCAAAGAGTCATAATCTAAGAAGAAAGCGGTCAGTGTGCCTGGTGCACTAAAAATGGTCAATAAATACTTACTGGATAGATGGACAAATGGGTGGATGGATGGGACAAACACATAGATGGATGGACGGAAGGATGGAGATATAGAGATATGCCATGGAACAAGAGAATCAGAAGAGGAATAGATCTAGAGTGGAGGGGATTTAGGAAAGCTTTGTGGAAAAGATAGCCTTTGAAATACAGGCTAGATTTGGACATCCAGAGATTAGAAGGGGAGTTGAGAAGGTGACTTATGGTGATGATATCCTGTCATTTCTGATTCAATCCCAGTTTTTCCCTCCCTCTCTCACTTCCTTCCAACTAAGGGGCAGAGCTGGTATGTTTGAAAACAATTTTTTTCATTTTCACAATGACTGGGATGGTGGGGGAGGGTGTCTCAGAGAATACCGCTGCATTTAGTGGCATTTTGGCCAGGGCTATTAAATATACTGCAATAAAGAATTGTTCTATCCAAGATGTTGACAGTGACTGGTATTAAGAAATACCAGTAAGTGGGAGAAGTATCATAAACAGATTATTACAATGTCATAAAGAAAGTGCTACCATAGATATCTGCACGTTTTCTTTTCTTTTCTTTTCTTTTTTTTTGTGAGGAAGATCAGCCCTGAGCTAACATCCATGCTAATCCACCTCTTTTTGCTGAGGAAGACTGGCTCTGAGCTAACATCTATTGCCAATCCTCTTCCTTTTTTTTTCCCCCAAAGCCCCAGTAGATAGTTGTATGTCATAGTTGCACATCCTTCTAGTTGCTGTATGTGGGACGCGGCCTCAGCATGGCAGGAGAAGCAGTGCGTCGGTGCACGCCCAGGATCAGAACCTGGGCCACCAGTAGCGGAGTGCGTGCACTTAACCACTAAGCCACGGGGCTGGCCCTGCACATGTTTTCTGCTTTTGTCAGCCAAATCAAGTGATGTGACCTCCTTTCTAGGCAAAGGAGCAGGGAAATAAGATTGGAAAGGCCCATGGGATATGCTGAGCAGATAGAGGGCTAGTCAACAGAGAATAAACCTTGGTCTTAAAGAAAAGGGAACCCAATGAAGGTTTGTGATTAGGGGAATAATCTTGTCATATCTCTGCTTTAGGAAATGCCAAACCCCTATTTTATTTATTTATTTATTTATTTATTTTAAAGGTAATCTTCTTTTTTATTTATTTATTTTTTCCCCCAAAGCCCCAGTAGATAGCTGTACATCATAGTTGCACATCCTTCTAGTTGCTGTATGTGGGACACGGCCTCAGCATGGCCAGAGAAGCGGTGCATTGGTGCGCGCCTGGGATCCGAACCCGGGCCACCAGCAGCGGAGCGTGCGCACTTAACCGCTAAGCCATGGGGCCGGCCCCAAACCCCTATTTTAAAGAGAACCAAAATGTAAAGTGATAACAAGCTAATTTTTTTTAAGCTTTACCCTGGTTCTGCATCAGAAAAAGTTAAGCAGTTATTCTATATTTTAAAAACCTGCAAATTTAAAGTATGATAAGATAAATTCATTCAACAAATTATGCTGGGACAATTGGCTTTCCACCTGGGAAAATAAAAACTAGGTTAGATCCCTACCTCACACCACATATTGAGATGGTTTAAAGAATTAAACATAAAAAAATTTTAAAGATGTTTGGAGAAAATGTAGTTGAATACTTTAGGAACCTTGAGATAGGCAAGGCCTTCTTAAGTAAATTACAAAACCTAGGAACCAGAAATTATAAAAATAGATAAACTTGAGATTTCTACATGACAAAAGATATGACATTAAAAGAATAGAAAGTGGTCTTAATATATATAACAGATGAAAGATATTTTCCAGATAACCCATAAAGCTTCTATAAATTAATAAGAAAAAGATAACCCAAATAGAAAAATGGGCAAAAAGTGTAATCAGGCAATTCACAGAAAAAGGATAACAAACATGAAAATATGATCATGGCAGATATTTCAGAGTGATACACTCAACTCCATGTCCACCACTTTGTAGCTTGCCTTGCTGCCTGCTGGAGCCAGGAAAGCTACAATTCCCAGGCTCCCTTAGAGCTGAGCCTCTGCATGTGGCCTGGCTTCCCCAGGGCAGATGTACCCTCAAGAGATCTACAGACTCTGGTGGCACACAGGGTTAAAGGGGGTCCTTATTTTTTGTGTTTGGTTTGGTCCAGTGGGTTTTTTTCCTGCATCAACACAGCAGACATCTCAGTGTCTAGATGCAGTCTCCAGCTGCGTCACATTGTGGACAAGATGAAGGGCAGCTGAGGCAGTGTGGGCCTGGAGAACAGGTGTGGCTGAGGCTTCCTGGTTTCCAGATAGGAGAGTCAGCAGTTGGGGCACAGCTTCCCAAATCCCCTGTTTCTCGGTCATGGCAGAAGGGGAGGCTCCTTCGGTGTGTGGGTTCTGAGCTGGAGTTCTGGGAGTCAGTCCTAGAAACTCAACCTAGAATCTGCTCCTCCACCAGATCTGACAAAATTATAAGCACCTAATCCCCTATTTTAAATCAAGTAGTTCCCCTACCCCTTTTCTAGCTATCTTTCTATTTAAACTAACCAGAGTGGATTCTGTCATCTGTAGCTGGACTCTTAACACAATGATCAACCTTAAAAATAATCAAAGAAATGCAAATTTTACCAACAATGAAATCATTTCTCCTTCATCAGAATGTGAACACCTGAAAATTGACTGATAAAATTCAGTGTGGCTGTGGGTGAGGGGAAACGGGCTCTCTCTTGGAGGTAGTGTATGTTGGAGCAGCCATTTTGGCCGGCCCGGTGGCGCAAGTGGTTAAGTGCGCGCGCTCCGCTGCGGCGGCCCGGGGTTCGCTGGTTCGGATCCCGGGCGCGCACCGTCGCACTGCTTGGCAAGCCATGCTGTGGCGGCGTCCCATATAAAATGGAGGAAGATGGGCACAGATGTTAGCCCAGGGCCGTCTTCCTCAGAAAAAAAAAGAGGAGGATTGGCAGATGTTAGCACAGGGCTGACCTCCTCACAAAAAAAAAAAAATGGAGCAGCCATTTTGAAGAGCAGTTTGTCAGTATCTGTCCAAATGAGCAATGTGTATCGCATCCAACCCAGCATTCCACCTCCAGGCATCTGTCAAAGAGAAATACTGCTACATGTCCTTAAGGAAACATTTTCCACGGATATTAACTACATCACTGTGAGTAATGGAAAAATAATAATAAATAGCTGAAATGTCCACCAGGAGGGAATAGTTAAGAAAATTATTGTACAGTCATTCTTCAGAATACCCTGCAGTAGTCAAAGAATGAGGCAGAGCTCCAAGGACTAGTATGGAAAGATCTCAGACATATTTCCAAGTGAAGAACAAATTGCAAAACAGCATGTATTAGTATGATCTCATTTATGTTTAAAAACAAAAGTATATGTTTCTATTTAAACGTGCACATATCTGCATAAACACAGGCGAAGGTCAGGAAAGACAAACCAAGCTACCCTGCAGGTAGGGGGAGCGGGGCTGAGGAAGGGCCTGTGCAGGACTTTTGTTTCTAGTCTCTAATCTTCTGTACTATTTGAATGTTTGAATATTTTACAGTAAGGATGTATTCATATATAATTATACTAATATGTGAATTAAAAGATTATAAAACACCATAGGGGACACGATCCCAACTTTCAAATGCCTAAGCAAAAGATGTATAGAGATTGATCCATCTATCTAACATCTATCTCTCTAGAAAGAGAGAAAGAGAAAACAAATATGACAAAATGTAACACTTGAATCTAGGTGGAGGGATATGGGTATTCATCATACAATTTTTTCAACTTTTCTGTATTTTTAAAATTCTTCATAATATAAAGTTGGAAATAAAAACACATCAAATACACATCCTTGGACACACACACACTTTTCCTGCCCGAGCAGATTTTTCCAGATGTGGGAGCAAAGCCTGTGGCTTGCTCAGCTGCAATTATGGCCAAAAGCATTGGCAATCCTTCCCATTGGCTTCTTAGAGCAAGTATATCTCACTCCTGTGGCCCTGTCTTGAGTAGCCTACAGAGACCTCCGTGTGCACTAACTGGGGTGGGCAGCAGCCCCTGCCCCAGTCCCTCTGCAGGCACAGTCAGGGCCAGGGCCTGTTGGGGAGCAGGGACCTAGCTGGCCCGCTGCCCCTAGTCCTAGAGAAGAGCCGTTGGTAAGAACAGGACCTGGGGGCTCCTTCATGGCCACATCAGGGGGCTCTGCAAAGATTCCATTCCTTGGAGTTGGTATACTCAGGACCCTCATTCAGTCCTCAATCTGGTGTTTATTTCTGAGATAACAGTGTGAGGAGAATGGGAAAAAAAGGAATTGTTAAAAAAGGAATTGGAATTTTAATGAGAACCATCTGGAGTGTTTGCCAAGGGTGTAATGTTTGGTACAAGCAAGTAATTCCTCAGCTTAAATGAGGAAAAGAGAAATGGAGAAAATGGGTATATTGTGCTTACCCCCAAAACCGATGCTGAACAGAACCACCTAGAACACGCACATCACACGCTTCCCGGGGGGCAGGGGGGGAGCGGGGCTGCGGGCGGGAGGAGAGCGCCTCTCCTCTGGCGTCCACGCTGAGAAGGAATGCTTCTCCTCGGCCAGGGAGACTTTGAGGGATGGGTTGTGGTGGGCCCCGGGCCAGCGCCTGGAATCTGGGTAACCACGGAAACGGGCCCGCGGGTGACAACAAACAGAGGATGGAATTTCGGTGTTCGCAGCCAGGCCGTGGAGGAATGGGAAAGTTCAGGAAAGTTTTTTTTGTTTTTAACCCTGTCGACGGGGAGGCACAGGAGGGAGCCGCAGTGTTCCGAGTAAACGCTCCCTGCCCAGCACCCCGACGGAGCCCAGGGAGCAGATTCTCTTGGAGGCTCTATTTTCACTTTATTCTTTTATCTATAGCCCACGGCATTCTACCAAGGATTCCGCGGGGTCTAAAGCCACCCCTGTCGGGGGTAGCTGCACAGCCAGATCCCTGTCCTTGCGCCAGCAGGCGACAGGCTGCAGCACGATCTCCTATGGTGAAGACGGCCACCCTCGAGGGGACGTCAGTGCAGCGTCTCAATTCATCCTTACCACAGCCCTGTGGCCAGCATGGCCAAGTCCCTACCTTACAGATGGGGAAAAGGAAATTCAGAGAGCCAAGGTCCCCCAGAAACCGAGGGGCCATCAGCCCCAGCCCCAGCCCCAGCCCATCCTACTTGCATCATGCCATTGTACCTGTAATCTTTATTATGGAAAAAATGAGTAATTACGGTAGCCAACATTTATGAAGAAAAGAAGTAAAGCATTCTACATGGATCAGTGTGCAAATGCCAGCTTCTCATGAGGCTGAAGAAGCGGCCTTGATTGAATGGAAGAAGATTCATGTGACCGAAGGAAGAAATTTTTACAGAGTTGCTAGGCAGAAAAAGAAAGGAACCCCTGCACTCTAGAATTTTCTTTTCTGATGCCTTTAGAAATAGAATGGCTGGCATCATGCCTGGGCAGAATCAGGGCTTGGGACTGAAGGAACCATAAAGACACCCACTACAGGCTCCTTACTTTGCAGATGGGGAAACAAAGGCAGAATCTGGGACTGGGCCCCATGTCCTGGCTCCTGGTACAAGGTTCTTTTCTTGACAGCATGTCCCAGGAGCCCAGAAACAAGCCCTTGGTAGACCCTTCGAGTCCGCAAGTGGGTTTAGGTGAAATAGTATGAATCGGCAGGATTAAAATAGGAGGTAATAACAATTGTTACAGAGCAGAGGACAGTTAATTCTCGGATCAGAAAAAGGGGAAAAATGCATAATGGATTGGCATTCTTGGAAACTGAGATCAATACAGTATAAAATCCACTCTGGTTTCACTGTTATGACCATCAGTAGCTAAGAAAGAGCCTCTACTCTGAAAAGAGAAAAAGACTCAACAGTTAAGAATTTAGCAAAGAAGATAGTTTTAAATCAGCAAAGTTACATAACTTTATAACGGTTTCAAGAAATCATCTTAAAACTTCATTAGCAAAAAAATGCCCCCGAATAAGCCAACAGGAAACAAGAAGTGCAAGGAATTTCTGGAAATGGGAGAGTGTTTTTTTGTTTGTTTTTAAAGTGGAAAAAAAAGTTTTTAAGGAAAAAGGAAGTCCTGACCCACATAAAGATAGAGTATCAGTTAAACTAATTTGAGAGCAAGAGGAAAAGTGTAGGCCTCAGCATGGAGTGAGTACCCAGGCCCTGAGGGCTTTGGGGGTGGGGGGCTGGAAAACAGCTGTAACCCGTGAAAAATAGGCTCAAGAAAGAGAGCCAGTTTTACACTAAAGACGAAATTTCATTTACCAAAAAATAACAAATCTGCGTGGGACTGTCCACAGCCCTGTTGAAGGTTACAGAGAAACTTAAAAATTGTTTCAGCACTTAACAATCCAGCAATATTTGTTATTTATCCTGAAGTCATTGATTTTCCCTGAAGCTCTGCTTTGTAACTTTTATGCTGAAAACCCCTAATTCCCTTATTCAGTCGTTAAAAATGGGGGAAAGGGTCATTCATTTTCTCGGCAAGTGTTTTTGACAACTTAATCTAAGCTGGGCCCTAAATATAGTGCTGCTATCATATCAGATTGTTCTTACCTCTTGGGCTTAATCCCTTATCTCAGTTTTTACATTCAAATGCAGAGTCCACTGTAATCTGTGAGCCTCACATAAAATGTTGACAGTTTTCCACCTTCAAATACTGTGAGTATTCGGTGAGTTTAAGGAGGCCACTGCCCATTCCTAATGAGAATCTCCTGTTTATGGTTCATGGATTAAACCCCTATAAATGGCTTTATGTCCATGCCCAAAATATGTGGATCCACAAGAAGTCTGAGAGTATTCATGTAAGTATGTATCTGCTTGTGAGAAATTGTGTGTGGGAGGGAAGGAAGGAGTAGAAGCTGTTTTCATTTTAAAAAGCTAAAAGGGCAAGCAAAATCCATTCATATACATCATTAAAGAAGTGAGTGTAGGGCCGGCCCTGTGGCTTAGTGGTTAAGTGCGTGTGCTCTGCTGCTGGCAGCCCGGGTTTGGATCCCGGGCGCGCACTGACACACCGCTTCTCCGGCCACGCTGAGGCCGCGTCCCACATACAGCAACTAGAAGAATGTGCAGCTATGACATACAACTATCTACTGGGGATTTGGGGGGAAAAAATAAATAAATAAAATCTTTAAAAAAAAAAAAAGAAGTGAGTGTATAGGGCATAGAGATGGGAGAAGCCAGTGCATTTCCAAATTGTCATTCTAGCCCTTGGGAAGATTACTCTTTAATGAGAAACCACAGGCTGGTGTTTGTTTTCTTAGTAATAATTACACTGCTTTGTTTTGTTTTTTTAATTTACGTTTAATTTAATTTAAATGTTAATTTAATTTCAAAAACTCCTTTTTAAAATCACTTTTTATCTTTCTGTCCTAAAAAACCTTTTATCCTTTATAAAAACCTTTATTAAAAAAATCTTTATCACTCAGGTTTTGATTATCTCAGTGATAGTTATTACCCTGAGAGAAAGGACCCCCAGCTGTTGGCTTGGTGGTCCCCACACCCTTACATCACGCAGCACTAGCCTGACTGAGTGGAAAGGGCCTTAGACGAGATCATCTCAGCCCAGGGAGCCCAAATGTTTGTTATGAGACAGTGTTCTCCGGGCAGGGTGTCCTTTCTGACCAACTCCACGTGGTACCTGTTGGATGAGCAGAAGCCTAAGTACTGGTGAGCTCTGAGTGAGGAGCACCCTACAGACCCTTTCCTGTCCCCTCCCTGGCCTGTCCCCATGGCTTGCTTCTAGCCTTCATGGGAAGAAGCAACCAGAAACATTGGAGCAATTATTCAGTTGTTCTATATGGTGCAAAATTGAAGATTATCACTTCTGTTTTTGCCAAAATGCCTATACGATGAAGCTGAATTTTTCAACAATAACTCTAATGCAGACTGTGAACCAGAATATGTTGAACTCCAGTTTGTATTGTGCTGTCAAATATAAAAGCCTGACAAACAGACCTGTATCCAGGTAATATCCTGTATCCAACAGGGAAAAGTGCAACATCATTGTATCATTTAGGATGTTTTTGGTTGCAAGTAATATGAAGCTCAACTAACAGAAGCTTAAGCAATAAGGGAATTTATTATGTCACATAACCAACCCAGATCCAGGGTTGGTTAACTCCACAACTAAGTGACATCACCCAGAACCCAGGTTCTCGTCCATCTTCAAGGTTCTTGTGACCTCCTCAGCTGTCAGCTTTCTCCCTTCGTGGTTACAAGATGTGGCCACAACTCTGGGCGACGCATCCTCACATCAGAAGCAGAAAAGGGGTTATCTTTTCCCTTTGGTTCAAGGATGGGCAGAGGGCAGAATCAGAGCCATTGAGAGCTTAGTTGAGAAAGTGGACAAGAAACGGGTATCACACACACACCACATATACACACACTGGATGGACATAGCCATGTGGGCTGCTGGTAGCCATCTTGTAACTATGTGGTGAATGCACATCTGAGAATCACCTAACTGTTCAGAGGAGAGAACAAGAGACAGGGCAGAACTGGATATGAATGTCCTTCTGAAGCCACATATGCCCTTGGCCTTTTTAGTTACATGAGCCAGTAATTCCCTGTTTGACAGGACAGTTCAGGGTGGGTTGTCTGTCGCTTTCAACACAGAGACCTCACTCATACATCTTGTCTAATTTTTCCAGCCCTACGCTGCTCCTCCAATTTGGTTTTGCTTTTTAAAAATGTTACTGGTTGGGACATTCTACAGTATACCTGGCCAGTACTCCTTAAAGCTGAGGAGGTCATAATAAACAAAGGCAGACTGAGAAACAGTCACAGATTGGAGGAGACTAAGGAGACATGAAAACTAAAGGCAATAGGGTATCTCGGATTGGATCCTGGAACAGAAAAGGATAGTAGTGAAAAAATTAGGGAAATCCAGATAAAGTCTGTAGCTTAGTTCATAGTATCACATCTAGGTCAATGTCTTAGTTTTGGCAAATGTGCTGTGGTTATGTAAGGTGTTACCATGAGGGGAAGCTGGGTGGAAGGTATATATGGGAACTCTCTGTACTATCTTTGCTACCTCTCCATGAATCTAAAATTATTC